CTCACTGTGAATGATTGTGTGTGTGTGTGTGTGTGTGTGTGTGTGTGTGTGTGTGTGTGTGTGTGTGTGTGTGTGTGTGTGTGTGTCTGGTGGAGCGACAGACGCCTTGCTTTTAAGCATTGGCTTCTTTAGAAGGAGCCTTGATCAAGCATTATTTGGATTATGCAAGAAAGATCATGTTATTATGGTACTACCAAGAGCCTCGAAAAATAATGAGCAGACCTTTTCAAATAAAATAATCTTATAACATGAATAAATAAATTAAACTGGTTTTAAACCATTGTAGTGTTATTTAATAATTGGTGAATGGAACATTTGAGTTAGAAAGTAAATAATGACTGATCTTGTGGGAGATACCAGAGTCATACTTGACCTTGTTGATATAAAAACACATGCACAAAATAAAATATATTTATTTTTCAAGTGTTACCATTGCCTCTGGCAGTCAGAGAGGATGAAATAGAATACTTTAAACAGAGCGGATTCAGGTAACAATAGAGACAATTAGAGAGACTTTCTTGTAAGAACATTACATTACCTGTATTGACAGCTCTTGACAAGTAAAGCCAATTTCACCTACAGTAATACTATCAAAGTGGTCCTTCAATAATGCCTGAGACAGCCGTGACAGAGAGCTAACAGTGTGTGAGCGGGGATAACTCACCTTCTCTGCAGTCTCTGTTTACAAGCCTTCTGCTGGGACTAAAATACATGATTTACATGAGCGAAGGCAGCTTTAAAGCCATTTATATGTTTCCTTCAATGGGGCAATTTGTTTTATCTCTATAATATACATTTCAAAAGAAGAATTCCACTACGATTTTTTCATTATATTTCATTTCAATGTTTGCAATAACCAAACTTCAGTCAGTTCATCAACAGTTTTTCTTAACGACTGCTGACAACTTTATTGTCATGAGTGCTTCTATGGTAAAACGTTGTCTGAATACTGAACGCATCACAATCAAACTGTTTTATGAGTGGTACACAGTTTACTTTGTATTTACTGGGACCCATAGCCCTTTAGTATCACTTATCACCATTAGTAGAGGATTACTTTTGATATTAGTCGCAAATCACTTTTACTGGTAGGATTTCAATAAATCGTCTTTGATAGGATATGAAATTCATGCAAGAAAAGTCTCAGATTGTAGAAGGAAAGGATGCATGGATTATTGGATTTAAGGCTAATATAAAGACAAGGGAGACACATTAGCTGGGTTACGGAGCAAATCAGCCCTTTTGACACTGTCACATTACTCACATGAAACCATAATCAACAATATAAAAATATTTAGCACGCCCTCTATGGAGATTTAACACAAATATGTTCTCTTTATGAGAAATAATGAGTTTTCAAACCATCAAAAAGTTCAATTTCCTCACAGCTACAATATCCAGACTTATTTGGTGTGCAATCAGAGCTAATAGCTGATATCTTTGCTGTGATTACTTTCATACAACCTATGTCAGAATAATTACAAGCCACAAACTAACAGGCTAATGTCATTCAAACAGAATGAAGCCAGCATCTGTTGCAAGCTAACCATAACAATATAACCCATAGTCTCATGTGGTGTGATATTTCTGTGATTGCTGCAATGACTTGTCGCTGTTGTGTATGTCATTTGGCCCCTCAAGCGTACCATACAGCACTGCCATGGTCCCCACAGAAATACAGGGTACCGGACCATCACTTTATTTTAGAAGCACTCAAATATCAGCCCTTAGGCAAATGATGAACACTGGCCTGCAGCCAGGTCATAAAAACAACATGAATGTTAGCTGGTGATGAATGTTATGTAAGTGGTGGGACCCTAGTAAAATGAATATGGCAGATGAGGCCCTTTTTGCTCACCGCATGTGTTCATAAATTGGAAAGAAAAATGTTTTATAATAAAAAGACTGACCTTGATATCTTACCAAAAAGCATGTTATATGATATAAACAGTTTTTCTGACATTTATCATCCACATTTATTTAATTTGTTGCACTTTGTACACTGAAGATGGTGTCAAGATCAAAATACTGCAGTCCTGAACATAATATCACACACCTCATCTATCTTGCAATTGAATTGTAAAACGTAATTGTGTTCAGTATGCACGATAAAATGTCTGGCCTGCAGCTTATCTCCTTACACTGCAGCACCTCAAGATGTCCACCTGCTAAGGATTAAATCTTCCATTTGAAATGCTCACATCAATGCCTGAAGACACTCACGGAAATAAATAATATATGCCCAGGAAAGAAGGCTTATTCTTTTTCAAAATCTTGCCCCTTTGGCACTTCAAAACAACTTGTCAGTAGCTGTCAGTTTAAATTAGTGGACTAGTTCACACTACTGTTTTCTGACTCTGATAAATCTGCAAACTGTCTCCATCAATCACAGAACAGCAGCGCCAAAACACACAAACATGTACACAGTAGCATTATATTTGTGTGTTACATTGCTGCTATTACAGTGCTGACAAGTAGACACAAACAAACATGCACACACTCACGCACGCACGCACAGTGATGCAGTCTGGCAATGGCTTCAGTTCTTACAGAAACAAAAGGGTTGAAAACGATTAAGTTGTAGCAGTCTATTCCTCCCGTCATCGCCCTTCTCTATTTCTCAAAGTGTCAAAGCAAATTCATTGTTTTTCATCTCTGTTATTACCTCCAGGGACCTTTAGATAGTAAAAACATCCAGAATGTACCCACCCACTGATAAACAAGCACATAAAGCAAGTAATGAAGTTGCAGATTCACTGGATCGGGATCTTTATCAATTACTAGTGTAAATTAGTGATTATGCCAGTATTTGAGTGTCTTAAATATTGAAGTACAAATTATGACCATAAAGCAAATGTTGAAGGTTAAGTTTTTTATGTACTTTAGTTCTTACATACGTACTCAGCTGGGGCCAAGTATCTATATTTGCAGGGTACATTTTGAAGTACTCCACGAGGCTGAATTTAAAACAATGACAAGACATCCTAAATTCTGCCTGAATAAAGAAAAACTTTGAGAAGAATCCAAACCAATGACAAACAACGTATTGTTGTGATAGACGAAAATAGAATTACATCCATCTGGAATATCTTCTTCTAAAAACAAATACAGAAAAGCCTGAGGCTGCAGTCAATATATATGTTATGTCATTTCATAGACAGACATGAAGGATTAGTTGAACAAATATAAGAGAATCTCCTGAGAGAGTATACTGAAAGGAGCTACAGTATCTTACTGAGACGGACTGTACTTGCACCTAAGAAGGTATCCTCAAAAAATACAAATGCGCCCTTTATAATCATAGGGTTGTTGCTATGGATAGAGATTATGATGGACTGTAACTCCATTAAAGGTATTGTATGGAAAAATACCATAGAACCCATAGCATTTTTTTATTTAAATGGAGGTGCTATAGTTGTGTTGTAATCATTGCGTCTTGTCATGACCAAGCCACCAAAGATGATGAGTGAAACATTTCTCATCATGGCATCAGGGCATGGATCGCTAATACAATCCCTGTCTAACCCTTTTTCTACCAAATGAATCTGCATGACACAGAATGTTTGCATAAAAAAATGATTGAAAAATCTCAGCAAATATAAACAAAACAATTGTATCTCTGTGATTATTTTTCTCTTGATAATTTCTGAGTCTGTTTTCGTTTGAACCATGGGAAACCAGTGGGAGTAAACAGTTTGAAAGTGTCTTCCCACGAGTGTGACATTTCCCCTGAAATAATAGGAGGGAATTGAAAACATGGCCTGTCAATTAATTGCTTGTTTATTTTAATAACAGCCATGATAGGCAATATTCTGAGGCGCAACGCTCCATCGGATGTGGAGTTATAAACAGACAGGCGTACACACACACACACACACGTACACACACACGTACACACACACACGCACATAATTATATATAAAACAACACTGACAGACTATTTTACATAATATAAATAATGACAGCATAATAAAGGCATCGAACATTATTGTTTTTCCTTCTTTTGAAGTGATGATCTGAAAATAAATAAATGTTCTTTGTTGGGATGCAGGCAATATCTTATGTGTCACAGACACATATCACCTCATATGACTGAACCTGCAGTATGGTGATGTGGTTTATATCATACCATTGAATTAAAAAGAATGAATGGACCCTCAATATTGCACAGCACATATAGCAGATGAGCAGCATGGGAGAAGATGACTCAATGACATTGGTGCATTGTTTGCATTAATAACCAAGCTTCCTTATAACTATGACGGACAAGATAAGTAAGGAAAGAATGAACGGATAAAGGTGCTGCATGGGGCTTCTGTCCCCACTTTCTGCCCTAGAAATGATTTTTAATCATTATTACCATTATTTAGGGGCATTATGAACACTCCTGTATCCGAATTTGAGCATCCCTGCACTGGGTCTAATAACCAAACTTCCTTATACCTATGACGGACAAGATAAGTAAGGAAAGAATGAACGGATAAAGTAATGAATTATGTTACCTTCTTGGTCAATGACTTTGACAGAACAAACTTGCAAACTACCTCATAACTATGACGGACAAGATAAGTAAGGATATAATGAACGGATAAAGTTACCTTCTTAACCCCCCCCCCCCCCAACGGTGCACCTTAGCAACAAGGTGAACAGCTGGGATCATTTGGATGCATGCACACTGTGAACTGTTGAATTGTTTGTGATTCTGTGTTGTTAGACTTACTGACAGTGTGTTAAGCACTTTAGAGTGCATGATTGTATGGAAGGTGCTATGCAGAGATATAATGTGAACCAATGGTTTATGCTGATGTTAAGCAAGCTAGCTGCAGTTAGTTGTGACAATGACTATTTTCTGCAATTTCCTTGGGGTCTGGCTCCCCGAGCAGACTTTTCAAGCAGAAAGATGGGCATAGTTTACAGGAGTGGCCACAAAAACTGAAGACAATATGACTAAGATGAACAGGATGGAACAAAAAGTGTAGTGTGTTGTTTACAAGTCTTACCTCTGGGAGAAAATGTCCCTGTAGGGGCTGCCGTGCTGCATGGCGATTCCATATCCACGGTCCGGTGCATTGCTACTAACAGCGTAGAAGGAGCAGTCCTCGTCATTATTAGCAACATATTCCAGCACTGCCGCATCCCACACGAAGCCAAATCGACCATACTTCACCTGGAAGAAAGAAAATGCATTTACATACAGTGGGCAAAAATTCAGAAAGGTGAATATCCAAAAACATGCAGTTGATTTATGGAGCAAAAGCCCTGTTTAATTCACCAAACATACAGTAAGTGGAGGCATATGCTACCACTGATCGACCAATATATTTGTTAAAACAGTGTGACACGCTGACTTTCACTTGCAGCAACATATTATACGCATCTATTCTTTGTGCATATCTTTCGTTTTTCTTGGCTAAATCTCTACTTACAGAGCATGTTTCTGTACCAACTGTGGCCTATACTGTATATACATTTAGCCAGTTATATAAACAGTATTTTAAGGACTTTAAATCAGTCTCTAGTTGAAGCCTCACCACATATGTATGGTTGAGAATAGGTTTTTAATAACGGTTTGGTATTGTTCCTTAGACCTCGTCCGCTGTGTGTCTTTGTTTATGGGATGAAATATGTACATTCATCCTAGGCAATAAAGGGTGGGTTTTTTAACTCACCCCGGCACACAGATGTTCCATTACACACTGGCGTTTAAGTAAAGCAACAATATTACTTGATTCATCTACTGCAGGACTTCACAGCAACCATATTGTTAAAAGCAAAAAAAAGCAATAATGGTTTGTTGGCTTATCTTTATTACTATGTGGGTATAGGATATATTTATGTCCTTGTTTAATATGTTTTGGGCAAACTGTAGGTGTGTGTAATTTGAGCTTGCAGCCTTTATTGAGATCAAGTCAAAGTGACCCAAGGTGAGAAGTTTTTAATAGAAAATAAGGTGCTTGTTAACATGGCTTCTTGTTAACATTCAATGAACGTTAGTTTTAAAACCAGAATGAAAATTCGAGAATAATCAACCTGGATGTGATATTCACATCCTCTCTGCCAATTCACTCAAACGTGTACGCACACCATGTGGACATTTGTGTGTCATTAACTTTAATGGAGCTATATTTAAATGTTCAATACCCCCTGTCTTCCCAGATTGTGCTTGTGTGATTGGAGGCGTGTGGCGCAGTGGATAGAGCCTTGGTGTTCGGATCAGGGGGTCACAGGTTCAAACCCCACTGCAGTCAGCATGTCGTTGTGTCCCTGGGCAAGACACTTCACCCCAAATTGCTCCTGTGGGGATTGTCCACAGTATTGAGTATGTAAGTTGCTTTGGATAAAAGCGTCTAACAAGTAACATGTAATGTGTGTGTGTGTGTCACTACAGTTGGCCTATGAGTGATGGCTAATGTCTGAGAACCGCCAAGACCCTCTCAATGGGTAATTTCACAGTTTTTAGTCCTATGAAGTTTGTGTTCATGTGTGTCTAAGTGTGTGAGTGATAATTCACAGCAGGAAATCAGAATGGCTCATTCTGCTCTTGAAAACCTTAAGAGCACTTTATTACTTTAAAGAAAAATGTTAACGCATTCCAATTTTAAGCTTTTGAATTGGTAAGATTATAGGCTTTGTGTGAAAAAAAGAAGAAGATTGGAATAGCTTACAATTGCATAGAAGTCTTTCTCGCCATTTGGGTAAAAAATCAAAACACTGAAAGATAATTATTATGCACAGAATGTATGCAGTGACCTCTAATGTCAGCCAAACTGAAAACAGAACAAAGCTCTGGTAATCCAACAAACATGTACAGTCTTACCCGTCCGTCTCAGAGGGGATACTAGTTTAGCTTTATATCAGGATATGCCTTTAATGAAAAGAACATGAAAGGCAAAAAAAGCTTTTATTGCTTTAAAAGCGGATTATGCATAATATGTCTTTCAGAAGCAAGGACATAGTGGAATTAATGTTTTTCAATGACTCTTGAGCCATTTTAGAGAATGCTGAATGGAAAGAAAATAAATCAGACTTTGATACATACAGTACTCCTTATTGACCCATATGAAAAAAAAGAGATGACGTTATGAAAAAGTACAAAATGGGTATGAAATGAATTCCACATAAAGTGATATAGAGTGATGAAACTGAGTGAGAGTAGAGAGAGTACTGCACATTAGAGAGTAAATGGGGAGGAAGGGTTTAAACGCCTGAGGCTACCATTTTGTATCCTGCATTGTGTGCTTCCTATAATAAGCTCCTTTTTAAGATGGCTGCCATGTAGGTGATGTAAACTTCAAATTGTGGGGTTGGGATTAATGTTATATAATTAACTTTTTCAGCCGGGGGATTTGGATTTAATTTGGGTTCGTTTTAAATGAAAATTGTTTAAGATCTACCATAATTGACATCACATAACTTAATAATGGCCGTGTTTCTCAAATATTAAATCCAAACCTTTTATTAAGTCGCTTTGGATAAAAGCATCAGCAAAATTAAATGTAATAAAAGTAATAATAATTAAATTAGAATCAATTACATCAAAGCAACATAGCACACAAGCAAATAAAGAAGATACATGATCCCTACAATGGAGCCTGTGAAAAGACATGGTCTTGCCTGCAGCTGTGTTTCATGGAGACAATGTACCTGGGAATAGGGAGGACTTGATTTGATGTAGCAGAATAAGCATTCTATATGCAATCTGTTTAACATTGTCTAAATTAAACATTTGATTCATTAATAATGAATTGATTGCTTAATAAAGTGACGTGTTAAAGGTCAGCTTTGCCCCTGCTGTTGAGTTAACTCTGATTATAATTCTAACTTTTTTTAAAACAGCTCATATGAAAAAGACTTGCACCTTTCTGACAGCTAAGAGCTTCAAATCCGAAAAAACAAGGTCAAGGTAAAACTGTTTACTATTATTTTTATCTGCACACATCTCAGAGTATGTTAAATGTATTTAGTTTGTTTTGCCTTTCTCTTTGTTCATTGTTATCCTTTCCCAATGCATTAGAAATACTACTGCACTCAAGTGTCTGGCACTCACAGCTCATATCCCTGAGGTCTGCAGCCTGCCTTAGTCCACACAATGAAAAGAAAACACCAAGAGGGTAGACACTTAAACTCAACCTCCTATTTGTTGCTATAGGAAATGTAAGGTCATTGACAAACAAGATGGATGAGCTCTCCTGTTTGTAAAGGACTCAGTGGGATTATCTAGGCAAGGCAGCTTTATATGCTTTGCAAGCTTCATTTGCATGCACAGTGTAACCTGGCAGTGGGGCTCCAATTAAGGTGCCATCCAGGCTACACTGTTTACATGCACCTTTGACACCCTGCGATTGAGTTTCTGCTGTCACTTCAACTAATATTCCAGAGAATAAAACATATCCTTAAACATATCCTTAAACTAGAAATAAAATAAGAACAAGAAGAACTACAAACATGTAACAATGCTTCCACTGGCTAGGGTCTCTTAAATACAAAGGAACAATTCATGATCCCAAAAGTAATAACAAATTATTCTCTCTTTTACACTTTTGTTGCTGAAATACATTTTTCTTATACTGGAGTTATGGAGGCTGGACCTCATTTGGATAGCAGCTGTTCAAAATCACAGGTCAACAAACAAACAGAGATTAGAACAAGAGTTCAAATAAAATAGGGGTGTAGAAGACAGAGTAGCATTAAAGGCCCGATGTAGAATTTAAGTTCATAGAAGTAGCTTGGATTGTCAATAATACATCCATGGTCCGTGTGAGTTTATAGTAATTACAATGTACAGAAATGATAGAAACACTTCGTCCTATCCTCACTGCCACTAGGAGGTGAGTAGAGCGACAGCATGAACTAAACAAAGAACACAACTAATGACTTCTGGATATACGTTTCCTTAAACTCAACACACAAAACAACATACTTGAGAACCTTGGTCTCAGAAGTATTTTTAACTTCCTGCACAATAGCTAGATTTTGCATCTGTTGCTGTGATCAAACATAAAAATGTTAGCTACTTCTCAGTGGAGTAGTTTGTCCAACTATAGAAGGGAACAGCTTATCTCTGATTGAAATGTTGTGCTAAGCGCTCAAACAAATCAACACATCCAAAAATACTTTTTATGAATACAGTTCACCAGGGGGCTATGTTCATAAGGTGTTTTAATAGCTTAAGCTCATCATACAAATAGGGGACACATGGGTTTTTGCACTTACTTTATTCTTAGCATCTAGAGAAATGTTAGCTCTATTATTTTCAGTTGCATTTGAGAATTGCTAGCAAATACTTTAGTACTGCAGAGAATAACTGGTTGTATTTGTGAGCCTCTTTTCAAGTGAACTCTACATGAAATGTGTTCAGTCAGAGGTTTTGAACCTGCCAGAAAATGTCTGTGCAGTGAGATTAGGTTATCATGCCCATGCAGCATTTATATTCAAGCACCGCCTCAACACTAAAAGCTGCATCCTAAATATGTCCGTCATATACACATACACACACATACACACAGACACACAAAAAACAAACATCCACATATGAATCGTAATCATTGCATTGGACCTTGTTTTCCCTCTCGTAAAGGTGACTCAAGAAACCCAGTAAGATTCATAATCACTCAATTAAAGCATTTTCAGCGTCGCTCTTATTTCATTAATGCCAGTTTTTTTATTTCCATCAGGTCGTTACATGGGAGGAAAGAAAACAAACGTAATTCTGCTGTTGTCAATGTTTATGTTCTTGTTTATCAGTTTTAAAAGGGTTTTGTGATGGTGGAGCTCATTTCAATCAGGAGAGACTTCATTTTGTTTAAAGAACATTTATTGACACATGTCATATGATAAATGTTAAGTCTTTGGGGATTAGACCCCGATCCTGAAATCGTATATCTGAAGGGGGAAATGCAGCCGTGAGCATATAGGGAACCCCCCGGGGTCTAGACACTGGTGATGATGCTGAAGATCTGGATTTGATGAGGAGATGGGATGAAGAGGAGGTGTGATGAGGTCTTTGGATTAACTCTCCTGGCACTGGATAAGATGAAAGGAGGTGGATGGGGAGGAGGCGGGCGGCAGCATGAAAACCTGAAATCACAGCTGACTGCAGAAGAGAGGAGAACCATTTTAAAGTTTGGCTGCAGCACAGTGATTGGCTGCTGGAGAATGAGGTGAATG